TTTTCCCAATTTTTCCCATTTTTTCCCCATTTTTCTCCATTTTTCCCATCATTTTTCCCCATTTTTCCCATTTTTTCCCATTTTTCCCATTTTTCCCCATTTTTCACCATTTCCATGTTTCCTCCTCGGCTCCGCCCCCGGTGGGCGTGGCCTCGTTCTCGATGACGTCATCGCGGCTCTCATTGGGCGGGAGGAGCGGGACCTGAACCCAAAACTGGGGAAAAAACGGGAAAATTGGGAAAAATGGGAAAAAAATGGGAAAAATGGGAAAAAATGGGGAAAAATGGGGAAAAATGGGGAAAAATAGAGAAAATCGGTGGAAAAATGAGGAAAAAAATGGAAAAAATGGGGAAAAATGGGGAAAATGGGGGAAAATGGGAAAAAATGGGCAAAAAAATTGGGAAAAAATGGGAAAAATTGGGAAAAAATGGGGAAAAACAGCAAAAAACGAGAAAATTATGACCAATTTTTGCTGTTTTTTCACAGATTTTCGCCATTTTTTCACCGTTTTTCCCCATTTTTTCCCCATTTTTTCGCTCCCAGTACAAACCAGTATAACCCAATCCCTCCCAGTATAAACCATTCTCATTTTCCCCATTTTTCCCCATTTTTTCCCCTATTTTTGCCATATTTTTGTCATTTTTTGACGTATTTTTGCCGTTTTTTCACCAATTTTATTCATTTTTTCACCTTTTTTCCCCATTTTTTCACTCCCAGTATAAACCAGTATAACCCAGTAACCCCACTCCTCATTTTCCCCATTTTTTCCCCATTTTTAACCCTTTCATTCCCGTTTTTAACCCTTTCTCTGCCATTTTTCGCCATTTTTTGTCCGATTTTCGTCATTTTTTCACCGATTTTTTTCATTTTTTCACCATTTTTTCGCTCCCAGTCCCTCCCAGTATAAACCAGTATAACCCAGTCCCTCCCAGTCCCAAAATCCCCATTTTTAACCCTTTAATTCCCCATTTTTAACCCTTTCTTTGCCATATTTTCCCCATTTTTTACCATATTTTCACCATGTTTTCACCGATTTTCGTCATTTTTTCACCATTTTTTCCCCATTTCTCCCTCCCAATCACTCCCAGTCCCTCCCAGTATAAACCAGTATAACCCAGTAACCCCAATCCCCATTTCCCCCTAATTTTCCTCATTTTTAACCCTTTTTTTGCCACTTTTTCATCATTTTTTGCCATTTTTTCGTCATTTTTTGTCCGATTTTCACCATTTTTTCACCG